TTAAACAATTCCATTAAAAATGTCTATATATAGACGCCTCTTTAAAATGAATAATTATAGCTCATAAGCTTGAAGAAAACAAATTTTAAGATTTTAGAAGATGAAATCTAGACCTTGTAGAAAATCAGCAGCAGGTCATCCAGTTGTCCGTGCAAATCACCTGTAATGAAGAAGATGTGTGTAAATGAATTAATAACAACAAACAGAAACAAACTGTCTACACTTCTGTCAGAAAATTATTTTTAGTTTGGACTATAAAATATCAGATATTTTGTAAATGTTTAAAAAACATTGGTTTATAAATTAAAGATGAATAACAATCTACCAGAGCACAATTTGACATTTAAGTGTCTTGTTTTATCTAAACCAGGAGATAAAACTTTTTTTTAAAAATAGCAAATATTCACAACTTAGATGATGGATTCAGAAAACTTCTGTCATTTTGCTAAAATGATCAGATCGATTGAATCAACGAATTCTTTCGCTCACCACAAATGGTGATTTCTTTGCTGTGGCAGGTGGAGATGCGGTTGATATTCGGCAACATCCGGAGCTGTTTCCACGTCTCGAGCAGCAGCTGGAGGACGTAGCGCGAGTGCAGCTGCTGCTGGGAGAGAAACTTATCAGCAAGACGGCTTCAGACACATGAGTGGTAGTCATGCTGTAACTGCTGGGATTTTGTGATTCATGCATAGGCCTATGTGCTTTTTGTCCTTGTTTCTTGCACGTAACTTGAATGAAAACAACAATAAACTAATGATGCGTTTTATTCAAAGATTGTTTTTCAATATACTCAAAGACAAAATACGGAAAGAAAATGTCGGAAATTTGAAGAATATAAATTGCCAATCCTTGTTGAGGAGACAACAGAGACTCCTTCTTAAGCTCAAAACATGGCTGGCCGCGGTGTGCACCTACTTTCTTGTTCCTGAAGGCCTCCACCAGCCCGACCGCCTGCTCTGCCGTCAGAGGGAAGGTGAGGTGAGGGCCCGAGTAGATCTCTGGCACCTCGATGTTCTTGTAGCAGAAGTACCTCTCCCACTCTGCGTCCCGACAGACCTCGTTCTCCCTGAAGATGTGCGAGATCAAATTCCCTGCAAAGGAAAGGACAAGATGACAGCTCACACCTGGAGATTCAGGAAGTTCTTGAGCGATGTAGTTTGTCAGTTGAAATGTAAAAATCTTACGTTCATTGCTTGCAGGTGTGAAATTGTCCATGAGGTAGCCGAGGAAGTTATAAAGCTGCACGGGGAGGAGGCGTGAAAGTTGATGTTATTCTTATTATTACTTTAAAGCAAACGTGCAGAACCCACTCTGGATCCTCTCGTGGTGGTTTCACACCTTTATCTGAGCCTGTTCTCCGGAGTATTCGATGGACTGGAAGATGTGCCAGGTGTATCTCCGTCTCATCTCTGTGCGGGCGATGTACTGACGGTACCATCGCTGAATCAGGACGGCAGATCTTATAGCTGAAACAGAGACAACAGGTGATCAGACAATAGCAAATGCTGCAGAGATGAAGATTAACTGTGATATTCCTACATTGAGATAAAGACACTGTCACATATCATAACTGACAAAACAAGGAATTCATTCTTAACATTAACGCCCTAATGACTGTAAGCTTTTTCCTGATGTTTTTTGAGTATTTGCCTAATATACTGGTGTATTAGTTTATCTCAGTTATTGACAACATCAGTATGATTTTACTGAAATTACACTACACAACAATTTGATTTACCCTCCATCACAAAAAGAACAAATATTGTATGTTCATAAAAATATCAGCAACTTGAGAATTGACCAGTTTTGGAAACATCGATTGTTACAGTCTGTCACTCTGTCCAGACTATAGAGTCGTTTTCTGTGCTGTGTATTTCCTCCTCTGTTCCCGTCCTGCCTTTCCCTCCTCTAACCATCTACACACTTCCCTGCTCCCAGCATTCCTCCCAGCCAATCAGCTCTTTCCCAGCTCCCAGAGTCCCCCCACATTGTCATGCATTGGGATCCACTTACTACACTCTTCTTGACATACACTTCTGTTTTTCATACTTCTTTTTCCAAGTAAGTTTACACAAACACTCTGTTTCTGTAAACCTTTTAGACATTGCAAGATGTTTCTCTTTCCCAAATGCGGCAGTGCTAAAATATCTATGTATACCATCTTAAGTTGGACATTTGATTTTTCCTCCACCTGCTCCGACCCAGATGTGTGGTTTGAACACACATTCAACATCTGGCAAACACCAACGACACAACACACAAGGTAAGACGGGTGTGGCTTACTTGTGACGGCTGCATGCAGCGGAGCAGAAAGAAAAGAAATGCAGACGCATTAATACAACACAAACATCTGAGAAGGTTTCTAAGTAGTATCCGTCAATGTTTGAAGGATCATGGTTACCTTTACCGGAGCTTTTGTGGAACTGGTCGGACTTTGAGACGCCACATCCCATGACTGTTCCTGTTCACAGCACCAAACAAGCACATCAGATAAAAGTTACTAGATTTAACATACGCGCATGAATTTAACTGCATTAATGATAACGCAATGAATCCATTACTGCTCTTTGAAAGGGATACATTACTTTTTGGCATCACAAATGTGATTATACATGAACATTTTCAGACACCCCACACACATCTTAAAGTAACTCTGATGCAGTCTTGGCCTGTGAGAAACCCATTCATCCACGGAGAGCGGAAAGTTCAGCGTGGCTTGTCAGCTGAAGCCGGAGGACGTTTTGACCTTTTAATCTCGTTATCTGCTGGTTCGCTCCTCATCTCTGTGATTGGCCTCAATCCTGCAGCACAGGACTGTTTTTGTCTAAATTCTTGGAAGGCTTACACTAAGCAATCTATGAAACTGAGAAGGCAGGAAATATCTTATTCATTTAAGTTATTTTTTAATGAAATGGACGAATTAAATCATAAAATATCCATGAAAATATCAGGTAAACAAATGATGCCTAAATTATTGTTTACAATTTACAAAACCCAATAAAAGATTGATAGTTTAAATCTGAACATGACATATTGCATTGAATTGTGTTTGAACGTAAGTTTATTGCTGGCTTTGACCTACTTAAAGGAACAGATGGGTGGCTTTCCTCGCATATTTAGCATCAGGTCAAAGTGGTGATCAAAATCTCATCTTTCTTATGACAAGACATAACTGTACAACGCAAACCTTTTAGTGTACTAAAATATAGTAAAGATTAGAAAACTGAGTCTGATATGATTTTCTGTCTTTATCTGCTTGTTTTGGGATTTAGTGAATTCATCTAACTGCTGTAGAAATCTGAAAAGGTTCCTCTTCTATGAGATCTTTAAATCAACATTTTACTTACGTGGTCACCTCCCCTATCCAGTCACCAGCTGCCTAGTTGTTTGGCTCTCAGTTTCAATGAGTATTTAATCAGCCATTTGTTCTGTTTCATCATCCACTGGTCCACCAGGATCAGATCAAGAACTGCAGGACGTCAGTCAGACTGGTCATCGTACCGTAGGTGGAAGAAGGACAGTCACCACAGAGGCCCCATGTGTGAAGCTCCCTCGGTCTGTGCTGAAGCTGGTTTAGTCTTTAGTCCCTCGGTGCGATTGCAGAGTCAAGGCACCGAGCCACAAGTGGATTACTTGAGCTAATGACTTGATGCGACTCGGCTGGTTTTTTATAGGAAGTGCAAATGGAAACATAGGTTTTTGATTACAGTAATTTGTAAGCGTGTGTGGTCAAGTGTGTTTGTGTTGACATCTTACCTAATGATGAACCCAATGAGGACACCTCCATGTTTCATTTGCAGCATCGAGTGTTGAAATGGTCGGATTTTAGAGGTCTGTTCATGGCAGGCTGGAAGAAAAGCACAACGCCTCCCTAAAAACGAGTTGCACTGCCCTACATCCTGTATTTCAGTATTATCTTTAACCTACTTGTGTTTCTTTTTTGTTTTCCTCAATACAAAACGAATAACAAAGGGATAATCATTCCCAAAAAGTAACTCCACTCTACTTTAGCTTAGAGTCCCATGCACACACATGTATACCTGAAACATGCAGATAAGCAGAGCCGTATAAAGAGAGATTCAAAATGCTTGATGGTCAATGGACTCACATAGACTTCTGATACTTCCAGGAAGTACTTGGCGGGCAATTTGAACGCGTATATTGGTAGAAATCGAGACAGAACTGTGATTTTTGCTAATTAGTTGTCAATACATGAATAGATTCACAATACTCATATAGAGCAACAACATACGTATTTAGTTACATACATGTCGTGTTTTTTTAAAGTGTAACAGCTAGAGTTACATGCCTTTTTATGTTTTACAGTCAATAGTTCTATTTCTTTATGTCATGTGTTATGATGTAATTGTATTGGGGTGGCTGTAATGGTGATATTGTAACTGTCTTATATACTTTTACATAATAAGTTTGGTCTTCATATCTTAATTTAGTCTGAAAAGAGACAAAGACGAAAATAGATGAAACAGGAAAAAGCAAGCAAACTATTTTATTCCATTTCAGACGCTGTAAACCAGAAAGGTTGGGGTATTTCTAATGAATGTACGGAATCAGTTGTCAGTTATTACTTGATGGCTAATTAGTTAACTAGCATACATTGACTGGGTGCTAATTTCACATTAAAATGTACTTTTTGTGACACAGTTATTCAGTCACTTCAACGTTTACTTGAAAGGGTCACATAATCGCATCCTGCGTGTCATCAAAACAATTTTAAATCCGTTTTTAAAATACATAAAACGCATAACTTGTGAAAACCTTTCCTTTATAAACATACCTGAACTCATACGCAACACACCGGTCTTGAACGCCTCCCTCACTGGACGTGTACGTGACGTGTAACGCATGGCGGAGGTGAGTTAGCTAATGTTTGGTGTGTTTTGTTGTTGTCGTTAACAACGCGCTGTCCTCTCGTTTATATGGATAATCAGTGACGCCAAACTGTCATATTTTTGAGAAGTGTAAAAACGTATGTTGCTGTTTTTTTGTTGTTGTTGAAGCAGTTAAGAGAGAGATGTTGATTGAAGTTAACAGGCTGCAGGTCGTCTAATTGTCAACACACGTGACATAAGCACCATTTAGGAATAAATGTGAGCGTTTTGTAAGTATTTAGCGTTATTTCATTCAGCAGTTATGAGCTATATGCGTACAGATAGAAGTTTCTCAACTGATCATGACTCTAAATGTGAGCCATTGTGGACATTTCTTTAAAAGCATTAAACAAGTAAACAAAGATGTTTACATTATGCAAAAAGATTGAGCTTCGGGTCAGTTGTTAGTCCCTGTATTTAAAGACTCATGTCCCAGCTTGTGTCAGTGCAGCTCCACATTGAAAGCAGCCTAATATTCGTAGAGTTCTGTTATTTCCGATGCTTACTAATTATTTTTCCATGCTGGTGGTCTAACCAGGGCCCTAACGTCACTGGGTCTATCCGATCTTAAGTGAGGTTTTGTGTGGAGGGTTGGTGAGTTATGAATGTATGCTTTCATAATCTCTGCAGCATTGGGAGAGATTATGAGAAAGGGGTTGAAAACTTTTTTTCAGAGGGTTTTTGAAGTCAAAATATTGCCCTAAATTGTTTAGTTTTTATAACAGTATCACAGTTTTCCTTTTTATTTCATGCTACTTCTGCAGCCTTATATCATCATTCAAGTGAACCACCGCTAGATTAACTTGAATGATTTTACAGGATGTGCCTCAGGGAGTCATTTAAAAAAAGCAATCCAACACTAAATACTCCTTCACCCCATTGAAGTATCACACCACATGATGTGTTTTCTTCTATTTTTCTGGGAACGGGTGCGTTTTAAGTGCCAGAACAAGAGCAAATGCACCAGGTTGAAACTTGACTTTATATAAGTAGTAGTGGTACTACTGTTTGTTCTGAAGAGCTTCTAAAATCTTTGTTACGGTTGACAATATCAAAAAAGAGCTATTACATATTGTAGTCTATATTGTTTATAAATCAAGTTGAAGACATGAAAAGTGATAAAATAAACACAAGACACTTAAAGACAATTATAGCACTGCTGCTGTAACAGTGCAACATCTGGCTCCATGTTGACCAGTTAGCTTGAACATGGCAGCTATAAACTACCAAGAAAAAGAATGACTTCATAACATCATTTGAGATTCAGTCAGTTGCATCTGATTAATATCGTCGGAGCGCATCTGACCAACAAGCTCGTCATCCTCTCCACGGCTGCCGAAATGATAAATATGTCCCAATTTGGGATTCAACAAAGGCACCCAGTGTTTGCTCTTCAAATGGGAGTTGTCAACCGAGCTGGGACAACGTCAACATATAGAAACATCTTACAAAAAATACATTGCACATGATGTAACCTCTTTGGATAAGCATTTATGTTTAATCAGTGACTAATGTATAAACAAGGATGCAGTGTAACATCTACATTTTAAGCGCAAAATCCATCAGATGACGACCCTTAACACCTCAGATGGAGCTTCTTTATTGCACCATATTAATCGTTTATTTACACTTGGGACTTGTGAAACAGGGAGGGACCTTCCCTGCAGTTAGTTTGAGGAATCGGAGCATTCAACACGTCGTCCATTGATAAGCTTCAGCTCTGACTGAGTTCTGTGTGTGTGTGTTTGTGTCGGAAGCTGAGGATGAAGATCGCCGTACTGGGAGCCACTGGGCAGACTGGACAGTATCTGGTCAACCAGGCACTGCAACAGGGCCACACTGTCACCGCCATTGTCAGGAACCCGGGAAAACTTGCAGTGCATCATGATAATCTCAAGGTAATATGACACGAACTTTGAGTTGGCCGTCTTGTTATGCTGCTGTTAACTGCATGTTCAAAGTTCAGTCAGTGTGATGTCACATGATAAATGTTTAATTGTGACGGAATGAGGGTTGTGTGAGGTAAAATCTTAAGTACTGCAACTGTTTCTGAACAGAAGCCACAAATGTTCTTGCAGGTTTAACTTCTGGGTGTGATGCTGTGCACACAGCAATGCAGATAACAATGTGGATTTAAATGCAACACTGCAAATATAAACCTGGTGTTAATCTTTTTTTTTTTTTTATTTTTTTTTTATTATTGTCAACAAATCTCTTTTGAAAAGACCAAAAGCCATAAATGGAATATATCCAAGTATCACCTGATGAATCTAAATCAGTGTTGTCTATTAAAAACACCTAAATGAGTCACATTGGGAGTTTTGAGTCAATCAGGAGAGATCAGCGAATGATTAACATTTATTATGACAGATGCTGCGTTAATGAGTTACACAGAAATTGTTTGGCGCTTGAACTCGACGAGGAGACTTGTGATCGAGTTGTGATTGCCCTGAGCGGCAACAATATAAATTCCCCCCCCCCCCCGTGGAGTCCAGACACTGGTGGTGATGGTGGCTGATGAATCTGCGAAGATTGGGCGGAGGGTTGCGTAACAGCAGCATGAGCGTACTGAAGGTAGAGAGACAATCGTATTTAAGAGAGACGGCAGCAAGATGATAGGCTAACAATGTCCTCGAGTTGTTGTGCTATTGGCTAGAGAGACCAGCTGATCTAGACAGCTGATATCATGATTGACGGCCCCAAACAATAACTGCAAGGAAATAATGAGTGTGCATGCATGAGGAGTGATGGCAGATGTATGGTAAATAAGCTACGGGCTTAGGCATGCAAGAGTATAGTCTTCCCATTTGAACTTGCGCTAGAGCTTCATTTGTTGAAAAGCAAGTTTAAAAAAAACAAAACTATACTGTAGGGGAACTGGGGAATGTTACTCGTGCTCTTTGACACCGCAGCAACGGCTATAAATAATCTTAATGGAAAAACAGACTCTTATCTTGAGAATACAAGAAGCACAACTGGATATAAAAAGGGCAAAACGGACTAGCCGAAACCAGCAGGATTGAGTTATTATTGGGAAATAATGTGAATTCACTTTTCAGTTATTATTAAATGTTGCATGTCTCTGGTCAATTAAGGTGGAAAAAGCTTGGAGGCTTTGGTTTAGTCATCTGTAGAAACTAATGGGACGGGCAGGAAGTGAAACGGTTTTGAAAGACACTCATTCTTCATGTTCACAGCTCAATTGTAAATGCTGCACTTTGAAATGAATCATCTGTTAAAATGACTAAGCCCGCAGCCCTGAATGAATAAAACATGCTTGTTTGTGATCTCGACTCAACAAATACGTAAAATTCTCCTCATTGATTATTCATGTCTCCCCGCCTGCTGCTTTCAGGTGGTGGAAGCTGATATCTTCTCATCAGACAGTCTGACGGCTCACTTCAGAGGACAGGACGTGATCTTGTCCTGCCTCGGCTTCCCGGCCTCCTTCTTCTCGCCGGTGACGGGCTACTCCCTGTCCATGAACAGCATGGTCAGCGCCATGCGAGAGGCCCAGGTCAACAGGATCATCACCATGACCTCCTGGTACACGGAGCGTAAGTGCAGCACACGTGATGATGCCGTCTGTGGGTTCTTTTGGGATTTGATGATGAAAACAAGTTCACCCGAATGATTATTTTGAACCTTCTGTTTAACCTTCTTAAAATACTTTACCACAACTTTCTGTTGTTGAGTGAGTACGTGGCTTTCAATAAAACCTTTTATAGCTACTTATCTAACTCATTTGTGAATTTGAGGCTTGTTGCTGTATTTCACTGTGGTGGATTGAGGCTTTTATTACATCAACTAATTTGCTTCAAAGAGTTCTTCCTTGTTTTATTGCTCAGAATGTGATCAAACTTCTAGAAATGGATCCTCACAGAGCTGCTAGCAGTACAATTTTAATATGTTTTTAATTTTGAGCGTAAAGTGCTACAATTGAAACCTTTTAAATTTATAACATTATATCTCATAGTTATGGAATGAAAGTGTTGAAAAGCATCAATTTATAATTCAGACAAATTAGAGTTCTTATAGATTTGTGTATCGATTCTCATCAGACTGAGAACTTATTTACGTCCACGTTTTTAATGAAATGTGAGAGATTTAAGAGGGAGATTTCACTTTTTTTTTTTTTTTATTATTTTTGTTGTTAGCCAACTCAGGAGTGCAGTCATCTTATCTCATCCGCTTCCTCCTGCTGCCGATGATCCGAAGTGTTCTCACCAACATGCATGAGATGGAACAGTTTCTGCACAAGACCGAGGACATTACCTGGACTGTGGTTCGTCCACCTGGTCTTAAGAACCTGGCGGCCTCAGGTAAAAGCAGCCCTTCTGCCTCGGGATCCATTTTGACAGAGTTCAATCACAACGCTGTTCCTTGAGGTTCCAGCGTGTACCTTTCATTAGCTGGAGGACCAGATTTAGAAATGCTGTTGTTGTAATGCCCTCTGACGCCCAGTTTTTTTTTTTTTTTTTTTTTTTTCCCCCCCCCCCATCTTTGTGTCCACAGCTCAAGAGTTTCTGACCCATGAGGGATACTTTGTGCCCAACAGCAGTGGTAACTCTGTGGGAAGAGGAGACGTGGCTCGCTTCATGCTCTCTCTACTCAACAGCAACGCCTGGGTCAAGAAGGGAGTCGCCATCACTACCAAATGAGAACGAAGAAGCCAATGCTGGCATTATTAAGCAGTTAGTTCGCCCAAAGTACAAAAAATATATACATTTACTCACAAATGTCTGTTGCTCTGTATCAACTTGATGTGTGAATAAGCAACTGTTGCGAAAAAATTAACCAAAACAACGTCGTAAGGTGATAAAATGTCAATGTTGTGCGTGAATTATCAAAAAATCAATTATTACTGGTATAAATGTCAACAGACATGTTTCCATTACTCTGGATAATCCCACTAACAGTTTTCACTGTCACTATTAGAAGAACCAGTTAACTATGCAGACTGAGCACAACTAACCAAACTATTTTCATGGTCAGATACCACTACAGCTAATTCGGTTGAACTGGCCCTTTAACTAAATGTTTACTCTCTGCCTTCGTAGTCTACTACTGGATATAACTGCCTTATACAGCCTAATCTGTCTGATTAATGTTTTTATTTACTCTTGTTCAACATATACTGGATTTATACATTTGAAAACCTCAAGTTTACCATTTAATTATGTGGGGGTTCCTACTATCAGTGGTAAGCACCTATTGCTTCATGAGGGCTCAATGCACCGACACATGTGACTGAAGTACATGATTTCATCCACAAGAGGGCAGCGTTAAACCAACAGCACTTCCATCATGTGCTCTTTAATTACAGCTACTGTTGCACCATGTATTCACATGAGCACTTTGTATCCAAATATGTACTGTATCAGTTCTGTTGAATAAATTTAAAATGATGAAACTGTAAAGGATCATTTGTGCCGCAAGTTCAACATAAGAACAGGTTTCAAGCAACACTTATCACACATGGCAGAACATGTTTGTTGCACTTGAGTTAAATGCTTTAAATATGCAGCACTTTGGGCCACACCTGGCTGGCTTTCATTCAAGTGATCATGGCGTGATCAGGATTGCAACATTCTTAGTAGTGAACAGAGAGTCTTGTCTATGTATTGGTCCTGCATGGTTACAATCTTAGCTGCTGCATTTTAAATGAAGCGAGGGTGTGAGCGTCTCAAGTCCTTCACAGGTTGAAGTGTTTTCAACAATTAAAGCCTAGTGGGGCCTTTTTCTAAAAGCAGGATTGTCAAAAAGCATCGTTGGTCATGAAGCAAGAAAAGTTCAATATTTCTATAATTTATATTCATTTTATATTGACCTAAAGGTATGATTGGTAGAGGACAACACAAAATAGAGAATTGGGTGAGAGGTCATGAGTGTGTTGATGTGCCAGATCTATTAGACCTGATGTCACCCTGTAGGGAATGTGCAGCCATCAGCCCAACCCTGTACAAATAGTTTAAATGGTCAAGATGAGATGTTCAGCTATATTCTCTTTTTATTTTTTAATTAAAAGCACATTTTTGAAACTAGTTTGGTCAATCAGTCACTTTTTTATATTGACAATCGCGGGACATCAATCACAAAACATTTGTCAAACTGTACATGGAGAAGCACAAATTACAATGTATGCTTTACAATTTGCACTTGATTGCATGTGATTGGATTCCATTAGATATATTTATTGAAACATCAGCTCCATCCAGTCTTTAGAGGTGATGTCTGCAGTTTTGCTAGATGGGGATAATATCAAAGCATGAGGCAGAAAACTGGCAATTAATGCCTTAAAATCTTTAAATAGATATTTCTGCTTCAAAAATAAAATACATACTGGTATGCTGATTACCAGGACAAGAGAGTTTCATTTTTTAGGTCACAGTGGATTCACAGAATGTCCTTCAAAAACTGTAAAAATGATGGCGACATACAGTGTATCTGTATGCCAACAGTAAATGGCAAGATTTGGCTCTGATTTGGATATTTTATTTACAAAATGTGCACAGCTGCTGTGAAACCGTATGTACATTTAATAGCTTAAATATCGACTCACAACAGAAATATATTAAAACATAGCACAAACATCTATTCCATTAAATACAACATAATTTAAACCTCTTTTGCACTTTAAACATGCAGGTAAAAAGAGATTTA